TTTAAATTAAAGTTGTTGTTTAATAAAATATCTGTATAATCTATATTTGTAATATTTAAGTTAGTCCAAATCTGATATATTCTACTTTTGATATTTAAGTATTAAAAGGTAAAGTTATAGGTATTAGGAAAGAAAAATCGGTAAATATTTTTAAATTGATAGCTAATAAGATATTTGATAAGTTAAAGTTCTGGAATTGATATCTTTTTTGAAAGTTTCTGATCAATACATAGATTAGAAACACTATTCAAATCACATATAATTATAATTTTATATTTAGCATTTTAGCAGAATATTATAATTTGTTCTTGAATTTCTTTTTGAAACTGTTTTTTCTTAAAGGTAGGAATATAAATTTGAAGTAATCTTATAGATGTATTTTTAAAGTGAAAGTCAAAGCTAATTATATAACTATTATAATTATATATACGTGCTATATATTTAGAGATTTTGTTGTATACAAAGAGACTAACACTAATTTGATGTAGATTAGAGTATGAGCTTCAGAAACTAGTATATATTCTGATTTTATTGTTTAAGAATTTCTCTTTTCTAGTTGATAAGTATATTTCTAAAAGACCAAGGATGTCATATATATTTTGTTCTAGGAATTCCTCAATAAGCAATTTTTTTGTAGGTTGTAAAAAACCATTTGAAAGGTGTAGGTATGGCTAGAATGTACTCTCATTAATGTAACAAAGTCAGGAGTGGTCCTGTGGCTGCTCTGGCATTCGCAACCAAAGTTAATAAAATGTGCCAAACCTCCAAGTGGTCAGCTTAACATTAAAAAAAAAAAAAAAAAAAACCATTTGTATTAAGTAAAGCTACTTTAATAAGAATTGAGGTATATTTAGGTTTATGAATATAAGGTGAATTAGTTGATTAATACAAGGTAATGTGTAAGTTAAATGAAGGTAGATTTGAAATAATTAGTAATTCTGTTGATCGTGGTGTAGCAGTTTGTTGTTCTGTAGTAAAAGATTCAGATATTAGTGGTGAAGTATCTAAAAAGAGGTCTGTTAATGTATTAGGTATAATATAGTTATTAGATTTAAGAGTAATATTGCAATAATGCTTTAGAGCTTCTCTCAGTGGGACAAAATGATCTAGTAGTGGTTTGAATTCAAAAGATAGATATATGTGTGCTTCAGAGTAGTTTTTTTTAATAAAGAAAGTAAAAGTATAAATATGTGAGTTTTCTAGGTTGTATTCAAAAAGGCTAAGTTGATTGAGAAATGAGATAATAGTTTGTAGTTTAGGTAGTATTAACAAGTTATGATATTTGAAAAATCTATTATAGCATAGATGTAATGAATATAGAAGAGGTCTTGAATCTGGGTCAATAGTTTGTTCAGTATTATAAATGTCAAGATAGACATCTTGTTAAAAGCAATAATATGGGTTGTAAATCTAATCATTCTTAACTATATTAGGAATGGTTTTTGATTTAAGAAAGCAGATATCTGAAATGATAGAGAGACGAATGAAGAGAAAGTATTTATAGCTTTTAACTGGTGTTGTAAAATAACCACATTATTCAAATCTGAATTTAGACTAAGAATAGATATATGTTATACTGTAGTCTTCTTTAATCTATAAAATATTAAAGAGTTATGGTATGATAAAACATAGCAGTCAGAGAATATGTCACCTGTCCAAATAGGTGAGTGCATGATCATAGTAAAAATGTAGATTAATTTTTAAAATTTGCTATGAAAATTTTCAAAAGTTTTTATTTGCTCTTAATTGAACCACATAACGTGTAAAAGATATTTAAAAAATTCTCTAAATAACAGGTTTTGCTCTATTAAATAATATAAGTTTGAAAACTAATTTATATGTAAGTAGAAAATAATATCATGCTTAAAGTTTGTTAATGTTTCTGAATCTTGCCTATATTAAAATTTTGAAAAACCCCAACTCGCCAAACTTCCAGTATGGATCTAACTTCAAACTGGTGTTTTTTTACTAAAGTAACATTCTTTTCAAAACTCTTTCACTAAAATTTTATTATTTATAATAAATCTCTTCAGGTTCATTTGTCATTACAGTCAGATCTCCTTACATGCACCCCTTCAAAAGTATGCATTTAAAGAGGGTGTGCATTTATAGAAAGCAAAATATATAGAGCTTTTATAAGTTGGGACTGGGTATATCATGCATTTAAAGAGAATTTACATATTCTGTATACTTAGAAAAGTGCACTTAGAGAGGTCTAACTATACCAAGATGTAAAGAATTTCTACACCACGATAGCTAATTCATGTCAGATTTTCCTATAGTAATCAGAAAAAACTTTATTAAACTTCAGGACATCATTATGAAAGGATAGTATTCTTCTTATGAAGTCTCTTTTTATTTAATCTCAATTCTTTTTTTTTTTTGTTAACAGTTACTTTTTTTTTATCTCTTGATTCAAGTTAATTTAATGAATATGTAATGTTGGCTGTAGCTTTTCTGGAATCAGTATTGAGGAGAATAAATAAAAGGTTTTGAATATTATTAAAGATTTGCAAAGAATGCCAATTGGACATATATGATTGATTTTTTGTTATAGAAAGATAAAGGTTTTTCTAATTCTAAAAAGGCCGCTGATAACAATAGTGAAATATTTAAAGATAATTAATATCGTTTAATTATTTATTTTCTTATAGTAAAATATAAGTTGCAATGATAATTTAAAAAAATGCTGAATGAAAACAAATGTTAATGGGTTTGGGCCCCATAGCTTACTGGTTAAGCTCCCAAACCCCTACAGACAAGGTCAATGGTTCAAGTCAGACTGGTGGCAAATTTTCGAATTTGTTACTGTAACCTTAAATGGAGCCATAATCGGATGCGAAGCCCTGTGGAAAGTCCAAGTGCAAGTACAGTTTTGGAATAGGAATTCCTGGAAGGAGCTCTGATCATGGAGTGGAGGCATCATGTGTGACAGCGGAGTCACAGAAGGTCTAGGCTGTAGAAGATCGCATGTATTAGACCTCTGGTTGGGGTGACTTAGAGGCAACACCAACATTCCTTCACCTCTATATTAGGCAACACCAACATCCTTGCATCCAACTTGTGGGGTACTTGCTTGGAAGGATGATTAACAGATTGTGCACATTAGTCCTAATTTAGAAATGGTGCTAGTTCTTGCTTGGGAGAGTGATACAATACTACTAAAACTGGAATGGTGAAAGAAGCGGCGAACATGTAAAAGGGCTGTGGTAAAGGATTGGCCTTACTTAAACAAGAAGCACCTCTGGCACCATGAAACAACTAGCTAAAGAAGGTAATTTCATAGAGGCAGATGAGCTAATCTTGTACATATAAAGGAACCAAGTTGGAGCTCTGGTTATACCTATATAGAAGTCATTGACGAAAGAAGCCAGAATATATCAACAATAATGCAACACCAACTAATGATGAAGAGTCAAGTTGGAAGTCAAGGTGAATTGGGGTACGCCTCCTAGTAACATGATGCAAAGCCTACGGTTGGAAGTAGAATTGCTTGCCACTTAAGGAATTTCATGGTGTTAGGCTGGTCTTTAACAAGATAGGTCATTAAAGCAACTACGCAATATGGTTCTGATAATACACCATATGAGGAAGTACAAATAGATTAGTTAGTACCACTATATCAGAAAAAGAACATTAAGTCCTGGGGTGGTAAACCAGCGGTGGCAGCAGGGCTTGGCTTGAGATATGGGTTAGTAGTACCTAAGCAGATAAGTAGGAGATTAGGGCATTCATGGAGAGAGATGACGCATGAAGTGATGCAAACTGGTTGAGGCAATGCAAACCCAAGATAAGTCCTTAATTCAACAATGGAATACCAACTCTGTCATGTGGTGAACCTAACTAGGCAGCAAGTTCCTGGCTTGAGATACGAGGCTGTTAGACCACCTGCACCAATTACGATTGCACGAATAAAATACCTTAGAGAGAAACTGCAGTAGATCATGCTTGCAGGTATACCAACTTGGGAGCTCATAAAAAGCGGACACCCGACATACCAAATTGGAAGTTATGACTAGTCAGTTGAGATGTGGGGAGAATGTGATATTACTAAAAATAGTTAGTTAAGAAGTGTTAATCTAGGTGAGACATATGTGGGGCATGAACTACTTTAGTAGGTTTAGGTTGTAGATAAATTAGTCTAAGTCTCTGTAGTGCTACGTTAGCATATATGTAAGGTATATCTAAGTATATGTTAATAAAAACCAGAGGTATGACCTCACCTTAAATATTAAAAAAAAAAAAAAAACAAAAAAAAAAACAAATGTTAATTATTATAGATTCTTTATAATAAATTTGAATTCACGAAATATTTGAAAGGTGGATTTGCTCTTGTGTATCGTGCAAATTAGCTCGATAAAGTCAAAATATATGTTTAGTTTAAACAATTGTTTGGAATTTATAGAAATTTTGTGATTCAAAATATATAACTTATTATTTTTATTGAAAATAAAAAATTTTTACTTTGTATTATTTATTATGTAATTTTTTTTGCACATTAATTTTTTTTTTATTTGCATTAATTGATCATTAATTACAGTTGTAATAAAATTGGGATGAAATCATAATGAAACTGTAATGATAATATAATCGTGATTTGAAAGATAAATTAAATTTAATATCTAACATATAATGAAAAATGGAAATAAAATTAATAACATGTTTAAATCTTTGTTCACTAAGATCAAATATATCTTTTAAAACATTTTGTTCAAAAACTTCAATTAAATATTCCTGAAACGTTTGTGCCTTGTCTAAAATGCCTTGTTCAAATGTCTTTTTTAAAATATTCATCTTTTGAACTGCTTCTAAGATGCCTTGTTCAAATGCCTTTTCTAAAATACTTTTGTTAAAATAATATCTTTGTTAAATGTTTCAAGTAGCAGAATTCATAATTTATAAATAAGACAACTTAACTCCTTTATTTCATATTAAAAAATAAAGCATTATTTACAAAATACACATTATCTAATAAAAATTTAAATAAATAATTTGTTACAATGAAAGAAGTTATAATGAAAGAATATTACGATTATTCTGTATATAAAGGTCTGAAAGAAGAAACTTGGAATACTGATCCGAATGATCAGGAATTTGTATTTACTCACGATTATCTGGCCACAACTAGAGCAAAAGATTTATTAGAAGATCAAGTAATGCAAGATGAAGATAATGATATTGAAGATATATTATTTGGGCATAATGATGATGACGATGATGATATGGATTATAATAAAATTCCAGAAATTACAACAAAAAAACGTTCGCTTTGCGTTATCGTTGATAATTTAAATAGAGTAATCAGACATTGCAATTCAGTAGAGTCTTTAGTATCATTGGCTCAATTAGTTAGAACATGGGAAAAAGAATTGACTTCAGAAGAATCTTTAGATTTAATCGAGTTGGGAGTTTGCTCTAATCATTTCAATTTTGATCATAGACAACTTCATTTATCTGGTACTAAAATATTAAGGCGTTATTCTAAAAGTTTAATTTATAAAAAAAAATGCTTACTTTGTGACAAATATAAAAAGTTCTTTAGCAGAGGTAGTGATTGTATTGAATATTGATGGAATATATACAAGAGAGATGTTCAAGTTCTGTGTCTTGGTTTGAAATCGTGTCCAGTATTTCACAGAATTCTAAATATTACTTCGAGGCTTACAATTAATGATAGACATGTTAGATATGTCTGTACCAAATGTTTTGAAACACATAAGGATTATCTTTATAAATATGTAGGACCTGGAAAGTCTCGAATATGTATTGATAATCAATTGCATATAGAAGATACTAACCATATTTTAAGGATTTTCTCATCTTGGTTATTCAACCTTTCACATTCTCAAAATGAGAATAAAGAAGAAGTATTATAGCATATTATAAAATTATTGGAAACCTCAGGATTATTATTAGTATCCTCAATTGACACAGAGTTTAATTTACCTAACTCATTGCTTGTAACAATTGCTATGAAAATTAAGAAGTTCGATTATTATTCGTCTACAGATAAAAAACTAGTAAAGGTAGAAGAATGCTATCAATTTGGAGAAATGTTAGAAAATACGATATGTAATTCATGTAAAGAAATTGAGAAAAATCGTGATAAATTAGAAAATCTCTCTTCATTAGATGAATATTATAACAACTTTCCTTCGGTTCTTGTTAGTAGGGTTCTGTATTTGATTTGATTTGATTTGATATGATTCAAATATTTGATTTCAAATCAAATTCAAATATAGATTTTCAAATCAAATCAAATTCAAATTGAAAGATTAAATATTTGATTTGATTTGAAAATATTTATAAATAGCTAAAATTTGAAGAGTTATAGTTTCAGACTTCATTTTCTCAAAATATTATTAAGACAATCGCTAATTTGGTTTTATGAAACTGGAGCTATTTTGATTAGAAGAACATTTTTTATTTAATATACAAAATCGATTAGCTTAATAAAATTTTAAGAAAATTAAAGATATTCATAAACGGCTAAAATTTAAAGAGTTATAGTTCTAGAGGCTATTTTTCAAAATTTTATTAAGACAATCGCTAATTTGGTTTTATGAAACTAGAGCTAGTTTAATTAGGAGAACATTTTTTATTTAATATACAAAATCAATTAGCTTAATAAAAGTTTAGGTAAATCGAAGATATTTATAAATGGCTAATATTTAAAAAGTTATAGTTCTATAGATTATTTTCTCAAAATTTTATTAAGACAATCACTAATTTGGTTTTATGAAACTAAAGCTATTTTGATTAGAAGAACATTTTTTATTTAATACACAAAATCGATTAGCTTAATAAAATTTTGTGTAAATTAAAGATATTTATAAATGGCTAAAATTTAAGGGTAGATGGTATATTTTTAAAATTACATATAAACTTAATGGCAAATTTTTTTTATATTTAATTTTATAAAAACTTTTATTAAGTAAACTAATTTTAACTATTA